TCTAATCACTACCACCAAGTCAAACCTGTAAATATATCCGATACGACTGCGTGTAAAGATGACTTCAGTATTATATCATCTTTTTATTAGGTTGTATTCTTTGAAATTAACTCTTTATTTGCGAATTTTCCGTCTCTCTTCTAAAAAAAACATCTTCACAGCAAGCTTTAGTATGAGATGAACTTATTTTCACTCCCAATGAATGATCTAATTGTATCGCCTGTCAACCATTGTGGTGATTAGTTGTCATTTTACATTTCTACTAATCGTTTTTATTGACTTGGAATTTGTACTTTCTTCTCATTTGACTTATTCTTTATTAGTTGCCAAATTTGATGTATAATAGTGTGTCTGTTAATCGCTGGTTCTTCTGAGTATCAGGTTTCTAAAAATCTACTGGGATTTTTTGTATTTCCAGTGTTTCGAATTCATACAATTCCCGAGTAAAACTGGTCCCCATAGTCGTCTACATACATCGATATGAAAGAAAACATGTCCTGTCTTTTTACAGCTAGTTTATGATCCTGAATTCAGAGTCGGAAAGGAATTCCACCTTAACCAATATAGTGCTTGCCACAGTAAAGGTAAATTTATTCTGTAGATGGCATTAATATTGTCTTCTTTTGGTGTTGGGTTTCTTTGGTCTGCACAGTATTGAAAGAAGTGATTGTATTGATTTGTGTGCTATATTTGCCTCAAATGGTTTCAATATTGTAGCTGTTATTTCTGAAATATTATTTCTATACGGCAATGCTAATTTTTATTGTGGATTTTGGGGAAGTTTTCTTGCCGGTATCCTGACTTGACCTTAGAAACTTTTCACGAAATTTAATCTGTATCTGTTTTTCTTCCTATTCTCTCCAGGACGGCAGTACTACATTGTTTTGATTCTGTTAAATAATGTCTGTACACAGTTTCCTACGTCAGCTATTGGATTATTGCTGTTATCGTGCGTCGGTGGCACAGTGGTTAGGGCTCTCGCCGACCATGCACATGGTCCGGAGTTCGAGCCCACACCGACGCACACCTGATATCTATGGTCGGCCTGCGAATTTTGGGCTACCGATATCCACGCTGAAAATTCCATACTTGTACCAAAAATACAGTGTGGAATCAAGCTGTAATCAAAAAAATAAAAATAAATAAAAAAAACATAACCAACTAAAGATCATCCACGTGACCTAGAAATCATCTCTATTATTACTTCGTCTGTTTGTCTATATATTTCATGGTGAAGTCCCAAAGGAGGAAAAATCAAACATTAGTGAATTCCTGACACAATTTTTAAATTAATGGCTTTGTTCATTGAATGTAATTTCCTTCAAGAGTGCTTAAACGGTCATTTTGATCACCACATCAAAGTTAGTCATTTTTCAAGTTTTGGTTTGCATAGATTTGGTTTGTTACAGGAATTCATCATACAAGCTGGTGGCGGTTAGAGAACCAGTGGAAAACCTGGAAGCACTGAATAAATGTTTTTCCTTCGATTGGGACTCTTCATTAGTACGCAGTTACTGAGGTTTGAGCCCAGAGCCTTCCGGTTACAGGGCAGGCTCGCAGACCATTAAACCACTGCGACCTGATCCATTGGCCCATCCTTTCCAACTTCTGCTAATTCACAACATAGTGCCACCTCTAGCCAATGTCTTCGACTAGTGTTTGTCTGCACACCCGATTTGCTGCACCCCACTGGACAGATTTCAGTGAAAAAAACACCTTGAAACTCTGATAATGAAAATAATTTTGATTCATTGTAGATGGTTTTAAATTAGATTACAAATAATGCATAATCAACAGATGTTTAACATTCGAACAATCTCGTTACCAACAAATCAACTATAACGACGTAAATTACTATTATCTCAGCCAGTCATTCTCAGACTTAAGAAAGGATTATGCGAACGCCTAAGTGTGAATTACTTATCAACATTTATTTCATTTGTGACTGTAACGGATGACATCCATAGTTGAAGCTGCTGTATAAATTATTTTAGCGCATCTGATTTGACAATATTTACCATCTTTTATAAAGAAGAAATAAGTGAAGGAATGATTTTACAGGACTGAAACGCTTGATCTCTCTTCATATGTCCGTTCTTGTTACAAACGCTTCGCCGGTAACTCAGGCTTAACATGAAGTTAATATATGTGTAAAACTTGAGCACTGTGGTAGTAAGTAATTCCATATTAGTTTGTTTATTAGATATACAATGTTTCACTGCGTGATATATCTAATAAACAAGCTAATATGGAATTAACATGAAGTTGTTAATAGACATTTTTGCCAAGTAATGAATGGATGAATAGTTGTGTTGAAACAATCTTGAATTAGATTTGTTTTTACAATTTTGATAACCGATTGATATCAGTTAGAGAACCATTGAAAACCAACAGGGAGGGAATACTGCACAGTTGTTTTGTTCTAGTTTTGGGGATCATCGGCAGTAAGCATCCACTGGGGTTCGGAACCAGGACCTTCCGGTTACAAGGAAAGCTCGTATACTATACAGTCACTGGGTCCTGATTCAGTTGCCCTGGGTTCCAAACTCAGTGGGTGCGTACTGCCGATAATGCCCAAAACTAGGACTAAACAACTGTGCAGTACTCCCTCCCTGTTGGTTTTCATGGTTCTCTAACTGTTACCAATCCGTGGTCAAACTTGGAAAAACAAATCTAATCCTTACAAACCAACTCCTCAAATTTTTGAATTAGATTTCAACTGGATTCAAACTATTTCTGTCAGACAGATTAATGTGTGAGACTTGGCGTTAATGTGCACTTCATTAAGCTATCAATGAAAAAGGAAACTGATACAGGGGGTTCCTGAATTGTGGAATGTACCACAATCTTTCACCATTCATCCTTGGACAAATGTCATCCTTTGTGATTTTACCTATAGACGAAGTAATGGCTAAGAACTTTGGCTTTTCACTTACGAGTTTACATGCCTAGTAATCCCATTAAATACTACACTTCTCTTTCTTAAATTTATACATTTCATGAAGTATTCCATATGTATTAAGTAATCTATTTTATCGTTGGATATCTGTCGACATTTATCACCTCATATATTTTGTAACAACTGAAATTAGATTTTTTGTAATTTTTACACATGTTTTCTTTATTCATTCGTTTACTTGAAGTATTTCATACTAGAGAACCGTAATCTATTTACTGTAAAAGAACTGAAAACTCAGTAAAACCGTTAAAATGAAGACAGGAGTAAGACAAGACTGCCTACCGTCGCCGTTGGTATTCCTGACTGTGGTGGAATGGATCATGCAAAACATTGTGGGGAGTTAGAAGACAGGGAGGAATGCGCTGAGGCCATAAGAAGACTCTGCAATATCTTGACTTTGTGGATGATTTGTGTCTAATGTCACACAAAGTCGAAGATCTACAGGAGAAAACCACCAGGTTGGCAGAAGAGGTAAGCAGCCAAAACAAGACTTCTGCATCTGTCTTATCTTTCTGGCAGTTGTCAAATTTGAACCTCATCAGGTCATTTAACACAGCTTTCATCTTTGCAATGTAATCCTCTTTATCCATCAACGTCACTCCTGAGCCCTTGTCAGGTCGCAATATAACAATTTTGTCACTCTTCTTGAGAGCTTTCAATGATCTTTGATGCTCTTCAGAAAGGGTACTGATTTGCAACGTCGATTAGCTTAGATTTGAACCAGCTCTTCTTGTCCTCATCAACTGGGGTCATTCAGCTGATAGAAAAGGTTTTCGAATTGAGCTGTGACAACGGAATTCAAACGCCTACTGCTAATGTGTACCATGGATGTGCAATTCCAATTTGACAACACTCTTTACCGGCAAAAAGATGGTGTTGCTATGGGCAGTCCACTTAGCCCTGTTTTAGCAGATATATTCATGTCCAACCTTGAAAGAACATAGTTGAAGCGTGCAATCGACGAAACTTCCTACTGTCAATATGTTGATGACACATTTATAGTGTGCAACAATTAAAGTCATGCTTCACACCTAGGAACGCCTAGAAGACGGTAGTCTTCAAGAGCCCATTTATCGAAAGCCTGCATGCAAAAGACAATACTTACATTTTATTAGCTTTTGTCCAAATAGCTTTAAACGCAGTCTAGTCAAAACTCTGTACTATAGAGCGAGGAGAATAAGCTCTATAAAAAAATTAGAGGAAGAATTTGACTTTCTTAAAAGGATTTTGAAGAGCAATGTGTACCCTCAAAGGTTCATCAACAAGTATGAAAGATCTGAAGTCACAAATGTAAAACAAATCACAGTGTGAAAAAGCCAATCTACTTTCAGCTTGATTATAAGGGTGAAAACATTGCAGCGATGATCAACAGAAGGCTGAGTACATCACTAGTCAGAGCCTATCCTGCAGCTAAGCTCGTTCCTGTCTATCGAACAACTTGTTCTTTGGTGCTATTAAAAATCGGTAGATATCCTTCTCATGTTAACTCCAACTGTATATACAAATTTACATATATCTGTGAGAGCATTCACATTGGAAAGACAAAGGAAGCGCATATCTACAATTTTCTGAACATGCACTAAAAGGCTTACGTCTAAAGGGAACAAATGCTCTAAACAGTGCCATTGCTAGGCATCTCAACACCTAATTGGACCTCATGCAAGTGAGTCTGTCATCATTACATAAAAATAGTATGAACATGAACCTGAGTGGGGACCCCATCTTTCGTTAGAGATACAGACACGCCCAGTAGCCGAGTTTGAAATAGGATTAAATACTCTTCCCGGATTCCGTTGTTAACTATTTATCGACCAAATAAAAGTACCAGTTCAACTTCACCAAGTTGAAAAATACACACAGTATGAATGGCTGAATTCACAGACTGATTTAAACAAGTCACTAAGTCAGCAACTGAAGCGAAAAGTGGAAATACTATTTCCTTACCCAAGTGAGTATTACTGACAACTTAATAAAATATTGATGATTTCACTGATGCGTCAACAGAAAACGAATGTTTTATTCCAAAAAAGACATAACTGTTATGTGAATATTATGATACTGGCTTTTTTCTCCACTTAAGAATGAAGAAATAATATCTGCATACATATCTGTGTTAAAATTAAACATAGAGTCGTTTTAGTCTTTTCTTGTTTTTTTTACGGTTTTACTTCCTACATGGTTTTCGCAAATTCATTTTAACTGCATGATAGCATGAAAGTAGAATTCGGATTTAAAAGATAAGACATATCTGTGGATGCATTAGATATTTAAATGTGTCTATTTCGAAGATACCCCAGTGCTCTCTGGGCGGATTTCGTCAGGCGATGTTGGTTCCACAGATGTTTGTAATTCTCCAGTTGTCACCTCTGTTTCATCAGCAAGTGTTGTACCAACCGCTGTGTCATCTGCATTAGTTTGATCTTCACTATTCACCAAATTTTTGTCATTATGATTACTTTCAATTGGTTGTTTTTTTTCTTTCCTCTTTTGCTTCTGATGATCTGCTTCATCTTCTTGTTGCTGGTGAGCTTGACCAACAGATTCTTTATTTTTATTCATTTTTCGTGTAGCCTGTTTTTTATTAGTTTCAGTTTTATTATTCTCTTGCAGTTTAATTAGATAGGCTTTTTCATTGGATAAGGCTAATCGCCTAATATTACTTATACAACCAGCACTAGCTGTTTGAAGTTCTGGATCCTGAAAACAAAGAAAATTCGGTTGGATAATAAATTTTCAAGAGTTGGTTTGTAAACATTAGACTTGTTTTTACGAGTTTGACCACGGATTGTTATCATTTGGAGAACCATTAAAAACCAAGGAGTACTGGACAGCACTGGTGGCCGCGCTAAATCATGAATTTGTAGAAGTTTGAATTCATGGACTGGTCACTGAATCGAGTCCCAGTGGCTGCGTGGTATACGAACTTACCTTGTAACCTGGATGTCTCGAGTCCGAACCCCAGAGGATACGTATTGCCAGTGATTCTCAAACCAGGATGAAACAGCTGGCTGTCCAGTACTCCTTGGTTTTCAATGGATAATAAATTAGCAGTTATACAAATAAATCTTTACTCTTACTTATTTCACTCAAAAACATGATAAAATACAAAGTGTTTAACCACTTTTGTTTAGGCATTCTGGTTTTGAAGTTTCAGGAGCCGTAGCATTGTTTTTATCGTGAGGGGGGTCGATCTTTTCGACTTCATACAAACTGAAACAATGTGTGATTAGGCTTATAAGTAAACGCGGAAATAATTAAAAGAAGATTATGGAGTAACGAAAGGAAGTAGCTAATTAATTTAATTCCTAATATTAATGACTTCCTTTGTCATGCTTGTTTCAAATACAGGTGGCACGTATAATGACGGAAACCGAAATCACAGCGGCAAGACAGAACTTTACCATTCGGATCTCTACTGCACTTAGCATCAAAGACAAAATTTGCATTTTCAGCATTGATGTTAAGTCAGTCACCGCTTCTATATTAGTCACAAAATTGCAGTGAGTGCTACAGAAAGCATTTACAACAACCTGTTGTAGACTTTTGTCAACAGCACTCTTAACTTTATATTCAATATCAAACGATGGACCAGAAAGAATAAGCAACAAGAAACTCTGAGAATGAACGAACCAAGAACGTATTGCTTAAAAATAATTTCCTGAGAAAATTGAAGACCTATCGGAAAAACACTGAGAAGACTTTCGAATGATATGGCGTGCCAGACACACCTTTAGAGTTGAACCCGAATGGGAAAGGACAAGTTGAATGCTGGTCCTAGGGTGACACGGAGGAGATCGTGTGAGCAGGAGATGATAGACTATGGGCAATTGTGGGGCAAACTTGAGAGCAAGATAAAGTAATGATTTGCTGTTGATGCCCTGTGTTCCGCTCGGAACCCAATGGTACTGTAATAATAATAAATAATAATCGTCTTCATCCTCAATAATACTTTCCGATTTATAAGAATCGTTTACACTCATTAAAATGACACGGATTTCTAAAACAGCACTGGTGTTCTCGGTCAGTCCAATGTATTTCTGTCTTCTCAATCATTATGAAGTGTGCTAATAATACTGCTGGACAGTTTTGTATAACATCATTATTCGCTTAGTCTAAATCTAACAAGTCATTGTATAGATCCAGATATTAGTTCTATTTTGTAATAGCAGATTTCTTTCTTAATTTGTTTTATGAGGGCTGTCATTGATCATGTGAAGAAACCGATTCTGCTTTACACCCACTCAGTGAATAGGCTAACATGACATAAATCTTAACCGTTCACTTTTGAATAAATTAAAAAAGAGCTTCTTTGTTTTCTGCCATTCACATAGATATGTATGTATACTATTTTAGAATTGTTATTCCTTTAGTATCTCAAAACGAGTGATTTGGATAAAACTTCAGTGAAAATATGCTTAGCATTTTTGTTATAGGTAATCTTTCTAAATGCTTGAAAATGAAAAAGCGGTAAAACTAAACTGTTTGAAAACAGCACTGGAAATTTTTGCTTGTGTACCTCAGGAAAAAATGAAACTAAAGAGTCAGAAAGTACTCAAAATCCCACTAATTTCTTTTCTCCCATGGTATGTACTATTATATCCTGGAAACAATAAAGATTTGAAACTCAATCGAATGATTTTGATTGTTATTGTCTTCCCTGAACTAAATAGTTTGCTTTTGATGTGAACAACATGACTAGTAAAGAAATCGATGTGTACAAGCAATAAATCAGAGTAAAGGTTTCGAGGATAGACAAATATTTTATTTATATAGAATCCTCGAAGTTCTTTTCCCAGTGAACTTAACAGTGCAGATGTTGTTCAAAAGCAGAATGAAGACTTCACAGTTAAACAGTTCAGTACAGAGAAATCAGCAACAGTGGTAAAAAAATCATCTCTCCACATAATGTATTCGCTGGTAGTTTCATCCTGAGCTTATGTCGGTTAGAAGACCAATGGAAAACCTGCAGGGAGTACTGGACAGCCTAGTTTGGGAATCTTCATCGGTACGCATCCATCGTCAGGGTTCAAACACAGCACCTCCCGGTGACAAGGCTAGGAGGCTCGTAGACGATTAAGCCACTGGGACTCAATCCACTGGCCAGCCCATGAATTCTAACTTACGCCAATTCATGACATATCATGACCACTTCTCAATATCTTCTTCGACGAGTAACTGTCTGCACATTCTACCTGCTCTACCCTGGTGGTCACAGCTTCCCACTAGAACCCCAGGTGACTGCCTGAATAGGCCCAGTTGCTAGTGAGCATCAGAGAATTATTTTTAAAACTACGTTTTATCATTTGTCATTTTGGGTTCTGACTTACAAAATAGTTAAGCCTCCTGTTTTTATTCAGTGAACGAAGAAAACAACTAAACTAATCGGAAATCCAATTCCGATTATCCCATCCTATGTCAGTTAAAATAGGATTAGTGAAATGAAAGCCTTGAAACTTAATAATTACCCGGATAAATTTGTCAAGAAATATGTAAGTAAATGTAAAAATAAAATAAATAATGATAATAGCGATAGTGATAGTAATAATAAAAATAATAATGATAATAATAATAATATTAATGACAACACCAACAATAGGGAATAAAAATCGTCAACAGTAATGCCACACAAGGAAGGAACCTCCGAAACCTTACGCAGAATTCTTAACAAGGCACGAATAAAAGTGGTCGGCATTCAAACCAACCACAAACTCAATTAGAAACAAGCTTTGTCCGTTAAAGGATCCGTCCTGTGGAGCCTTTGAAACAAAACAATTTAGTTTATCCAATACCCTGCTGGAATGATTGTCAGGTCAAATACATAGGTCAAACTAGTAGAACAGGGGCGGTCAGACTAGCTGAACATAAAAACCTAGCAAAATCTAGATTGGTTGACCCGAATAAGATAAGAAGTCTAGAGAATAGTTCAATCATAGCACTCACTACATGCAGTTACACACAATTATATAATAGGATGGATGGGATTAGATGAGAGTTTTGAAGCCTAATGTCACAGGGTGGAGGGAGAGATTGATAACAGAAGCTTTGTTTATCGAATCAACTGCAAAAACTATAGGCACTATCTCTAGGTCCAAAATTCTGCGTAAAACCACAAAGTACTGACAAGCTACAATGCCTATACACAAAACGGAACCTGATCCGTTCACTCAGCTACAGAGTTCGCAGAATTTGTACCCCGGACACCGTAGAAGACGAACTGGACAATCTCAAGAAAATCCTCGTCGAGAATTGTTCCTCAGAACGATTTATTGCAAAATCTATGAATCCTAGGCCACAAAAGCCGCCCTTGCATAACGTCCCGAAGAAACCACTCTACGTGAACCATCAATTCAATGGAGATATATCTGCGGAAACACTAAAAAATCGACTGTCGCGCCCACTCAAGAAGACCTTCTTCGCAGCTGAACTACGACTAACTTTCTCCACAAAACCTATGATTCGTGTGAACGTGAAGGATAAACTACCACTGTTAGCCTCATCAATGTGTATTTATCAATTCACCTGCTCGTGTGGAGCCAGGTATGTCGGCCGTACCCAGCGTTCGCTTTCCAAGCGTATCAACGAACACTTACCAGCATGGTTTCACAAAGGAGAAAAACGATGTCCCCGCAGCTCCATCTTAGAAAATCTGATAGAATCCGGACACCAAGCTGCACCCCAAACAGACTTCAAAGTAGTCTACAGAGTAAGAAGTAGTCTTCCTAAAGGTGTACGAATCAGACTTCTTCAAACTGCAGAAGCAATGGCGAATCACTTGCTAAGCCCTGGACTCTGCATACAAAGGAAGTTCGTTCAATCACTACACTTACAATGGACGTAATCTATCTTATTACCTGAAAAGTAAATTCTACCTAATCCTTTTTTCTGTCTCTTCATTGGTATTATTGTCTTCTTAATTGTAATATTTTGCATTTTCAACTTTCTTGTTCTCTACCCCCACCCGATTTAATTTCTACACCTCACTACCACCTTAATTGACTTGACCAACGCTCAATTTCTAGTCATTTATGTTACGTCATCCCACTTAATTGCTCAATTTCAGTTCTAATTTGAATGGCAATATTCTCTACCCCACCACTATTTAGTCTTTACCTATAATTACCTCTGTTGCTACCCTGACCTGAGTTGAAACATTTTAGTCAATTATATTACGTCATCCAACTTACTAACTCTGTCTTACTGTCTATTTAACCTCATTTCTATATTAGATCATTCTTTTATTACCTGATCAATTATCTAATTTTGACAAACCTCATGTACACACACACACAAATAATTATATATAAATGCGATTGTACAGCTATGTGAATGAATTCGCCGAAAAGAGTCTCTTCGCTGAACGTCTTCTCTTTTTCATATGACTAATAGAATTGATTCAACAGCTATCCCAGATATATGGAAAATTTTATTACCATTACGACAAATAGGAGAAAACAAAGAAAGATATAAAAGTAAAATTTCAAAGTCGTGTGATCAAAATTGATACGATTATGAACAATAAATTATGTTCGAAACGTCATGCAGTAAATTATAATACTGTTTCACTGTGTGATACATCTAATAAACAAACTAATATGGAATTACTTACTACCAAAGTGTCCAAGTTTTACACATATATTAACAGTTCAGTTAAAGTCAGGGATCTCACTGTCTTGTTTCTTCATGATGCTTTTTACAAGTATTCAAGTTATTATCATATCGGTTCAATCGATCGAAATATGAATTCCCAGCATAAAAAAAGTTATTCCATCGGTATATAGTAATATCAATTTTTTTACTTTGAAAATTGTCAAGAGTGAAAATTTTGCCAACGTAACTTATCATTCTCAGAAAAGTGGTTTATAACAGTGAAATATTTGAGAAGTTATGATCACGCACATGCCACAGTCAAAAAAGAAGACTGGATGTTTGTAAAATACTATTTTTGTAGATGTGTTTGTCAAGCAGAAAAGAATATTAATTTTGTAAGTTTGCTGAAACTTTCGAAGCTTTACAAAGCTAAGCAATACTCAGTTTTGCAGGATATATATTCATAGTATAAGCTTTTGACTACACCAAAAATACGAAAGTATTTAAGGCATCCACAAAAGAACATCCAAAACTCTATGCATAATTCTTAATCGATAGGGAGTCAGTTGGTAGTTAAACCTACAATGTTAAGAATAGACTTTGCAATTTAAAATATTATACTTGACCTATTATTATTATTACCATTCCCTCAGGTTTCAGGTGAAACACAGGGCTTCAACAACATATCTCCTGTGTGTTCTATTCCTTGTTGTACTCTTCAACTGCATTCACAATTGCACTTAATCTCTCATCTCTTCCAACTTACGTGATCTGCTCCATGTCACCCTCGCATCGACCACCCACTCGTCACTTCACTCCAGCGATGGCCTGCACTGCGCGTAATGTCATTCGATGACCTTCTCAACATATGCCCGATCCATTTCCATTTTCTCCTATATATTTAATGAATAGTTGGCTATCACTTGTTGATTTGTTGCCAGCCATAGTTTCTTGTTGCTAATTCTTTCTGGCCGGCCATTTGGTCTTCAGGATGGAGTCAGAGTTGACTCGCATTGATTTAAGTCTCCAAAGAAAGCAGAGTTAAGCCAATGCAAGAACTGGCGCGGTGTTCCTGTCCATCGCAAGCAAAATACTAAGCTGCATTATTCTGGAGAGAATCAAAGAAGCCCTGGATGAAAAGCTTCGACCGTAACAGGCTGGATGCAGGAGAAACAAGTTGTCTATTGATCAAATCACCACACTACGAATCATCATTGAACAGAGCTTAGAATGGCAGTTTCCTCTCTATTTCACTCAACTTAATTGACTTTGAAAAGGCCTTCTACAGCGTCGATTGAGAGGTCATTTGGCAACTACTTCACTACTACCGATGGGTGCCACTGACAATTAAACATCTCATCCAACAGTTGTACGACAGTGCTGCATGCCAAATAATTCACAACGGGAAACTTAAGGAATCCTTCGAAGTGAGGACGGGAGTAAGATGAGGCTGACTGGCTGCCTACTATCTCCTATGATTTTCCTGACTGCAGTATATTGGATAATGAGACAGACAGCGGGCAGCGAGAAAACAGGCATAAAATGGACTAACACAAAAAACTTTGAGGATCTGGACTCCGTCTATGATATGTGTCTGATATCCTGCAAACTGGAAGATTTGCAAGTGAAAAGCAACAAAAAGATAGGACTTCAGGTGAACATAGAGAAAACAGAGGTGATGAAGATTCCTGACCAACACCAACAGCAGCAACAACAACAGACAACAATCAGCATAAATGGGAGGAACCTGAAAAAACAACCTCCTTTTCCTACCTGCCTACCTATCTGGGAAGCATCGTTTCAACTATAAGCGGACGGAACTGATGAGGATATCAAGGCGGGCAGGACCGGGAGAGCATGACAAGCTTTTATTACTCTCAAATGCGTGTGGATATCAACAGCACTCAGCATGAAAGGCAAGTTCCGGATTTTCAACTACGGTGTGAAGTCAGTGCTACTATACGGACCAAAGACTTAGCGCGTCATGAAGAGCGCCTCAAACAAACTATAGACCTTCATTAACAGCTGTCTTCGCTCAATACTACTCAAGATCAGATGGGCGGCTAGAAAATATCAGCAATAGTGAGAGATCTCTGGGATCGAACCAACCCATCAGGAAGCAATTGTGCAACAAACAAGCAGGAGGACATGGAGGTGGATTGGTTGGCCAAACCCTGAGAAAAGCTTCAAGCGACCTCACATAATAGACCATCGTTCAAGCGGAACACAAATGGGAAGTGTCGAATTGGTCGTCAGTGCGAGAGAGGCATAGGATAGAGGAGGTGATGTGAAGAGGAGATGAAAGCATGTGGGCAGACGTGGAGCCAGGTGAAAATGTTGGCGGAGAACTGAACGCATTGGAGACGTGCGGCTGAAGGCCTATATTCCTCTAGGAATTTTAGGAAACAATAATAATAGTGGAGTCAGCGAAGCAGGTGGCTGTTGATAAAAGTCTGTTGCTCGTTTGAAATCATTTTCGTGACATGCTGGCCAAGTTCCTGACCTGTATAGAAGAACGGACTGACTTCACATGTGTGTTAAAAATCCGAATCTTGCTATTTTTGCTGTGTTAGTGGTTTCAGGTTGGTGACCTTAAACTAATTAGACGTAATAAGCTAATTTACACACTACACTGTGATGATTTTGAAGTTAAGTACATAGTTCATTTCAGTAGATTGAGGAAATTCGCAACCGTTTAGGTGCACTCACTATTACACAAGCATACAAGAGTACGATAGAGTTATAGTTCTAAAAAAGTAATATAGTAAACTGTAGGGAGTGGTTGATCACTGTATTCTGAATCAAAATCTTATCTCCAGAGAATGAAGCTAATCATATTTCCTTGTTAAATACGGTAATATTAATTATACGAACTTTCTTGGCATATTACTTACTGGTGAACCGACCATTTGTAATAAATACTTCACTACACCTGCTTGATGCATTGCAACACAATTATTTGGATCACGACTCAGTTGAAATAATGCTTTAGCAGTTGATCTGTGAACATTTGGATCAGATGATTTAAGAAATTGAACAATAGGCGTAACCGCACCACAATTACCGAAATCAACACGATTTGTACCCCATGTACAACATTTTGCTATCGCATCAGTTAATGGACACCTAAGACAATCATCTTTCTGTGAAGTTTAAAAAGAAAACCAGAAATAATTTACTTCGAAAAAAGATGATACTATAAGACATTGACACATTGAATGTGTAAGTAAAATGATAAATGAAAATCAAAAATCAAATCTTTAGTCTAGCATCTATGCTTACTGAGACTCATTTCTCTAATATCTTAAGCAGATTACCGGAAAAACCATTTTTATTTTATTTTAATATTATTTAAGCTATTCCCAATAAATGTTAAAATTACAGGATACGATTTCAACCTTGACAGGATGTCTGACTCTATGCAGATAGAAGTATCTCTAACGTGCACTGAATAATGACTGGCCAGAAGAGTACAAGGAAACAGCTGTCAAGTCTGATGTACAAAAATTCATTTTGCCAATCATCACTACTTTTTATTTTATTAATTATCACCATTATGAAATAGTATTTTAATCATTGTCAATTACTTTTTTCAATGCTAAATGGAAATGTTCAACCTCCTGTGTCATTTAACATGATTTTTCCATGTTATTTTTGGAATCTGTAATATTTTGCAATAATTATCATTAAGGTTGATAATTTACAAAAATACACATGGTTAATGAACTGAGTTTTCACGGTTAACCAAAGATAATAGTACTCCTCAAAGAATTATATGATCTGAATTATATTTCTTAATAAGAGTGTTGCATTTCGATAAAGAAAGGAAGACGAGATTTTCAGTATAAAATGATATCATTTCACTTCACAGGTTCTCATCAGCTACAGACTACCTGAAATTACAATCGTTATATAGATGACAATAACATACTTTAACGTTTAAGTGGTAGTAGAGAAGAAATACCAAAAAATTGACGCATCCAAAACGTCAGCATTACAATATTTAGTTTAAGCTTTCATCATCAATGTATGCGCTTTCAAAGTAGGAGAGAGTGGGAAGGGGTAAGGCAGACACAGGCAAGAAACCTGTGCCTGAAAGGAAGAAAATATTCTCAGAGTGAAATTACCAGACATACTGTTGATACTGGTCATCTCGTAGAGATTTCTAAGTTGTTCAAGATATTAAATAGACAAAGGACTGCAAATTTACTACGATTTGCCGAAGCGATCGCAATCAGACGATTCAAACCAAACTTATGCATACAGAAAGGGAGTGTGATTAACCGGTCACTCCGATTTGATGGTAGTAGATGGTTGGAGGCAATCGCCAGGAAGCCTTGGACCTAGTTTCGTGCTAGTTGGCACTCACCAGTCAGCAAGGCGTATCTGCAACCCTGAAGGAACTCATGTCTCTTATGAGATTCGAACCCACGTCACCCACTGATGCAGTCAGAGACGTTATCACTGGGCTATTTGAGCTCGCGATTGACTGCAGCTGTGGGTGACGTGGGTTCGAATCTCAAAAGGGAGATGATTTCCTTCAAGGTTGCAGATACGCCTTTTCGACGAGTGCCAACTAGCACGAAACCTAGGTCGAGCAAGGCTTCCTGCTGATTGCCTCCAACTATCTACTATCATCAAATCAATGTGCACCGTGATGGTGAGCTACCTAGAATGGTGGCCACATTACAAACCTGACTGATATAATTTAGTCTGCACAAAAGAAAGGACTAGACACATCACACTAGTTACTAGTTTCCGATCAAAATACCTCTCACTCCTTTGGTAACTGAATTCTGATTTCGATAACAATAATTAGTCATCAAATTAATCGATCGCAACTCACTGAACAAATTTCAACCTTACAAACTGTAACCATTTTTGTTTTTTGAGTAACTGTGTGGACCTACAAGCTAACACTGCTTGTTAATTAATCCTGTTTTCTGTCTCACCCCTCCCCCTATAAAACTAAAAATTGTAATCCTTACATTTCGGATGCGTCAATTTTATAGTCTATCTTCTTTACTACCACTTAAGCATCAAAGTATCTTATTGTCATCTATATAACGATTGTAATTGCAGGTAGTCTGTAGCTGATGAGAACCTGTGAAGTGGAATGATATCATTTTATACAGGATTAATAGGATTAATAGCTGAAACCGTTATGCAAAGATTAGAATTAATAGCCTTCCCTATAATTATACGAAAAATCTCGACACGTTACGTTGATGATATATTAGTAATAATTCAAAGAAATGATTCGGAATTTACTCACAAATTAGAATAAACAACATATCTGAAGACATTAAATTCATCACGTGAGAAGAAGAATTCGACAACAAAATTCCATTTTTAGATATCTTAATCAAGAAAACTAACACCAAAAATTTAGGAACACAAGAATATAGAAAATCAACACACACACGGAGCAAATACTCAACTATAGTAGTAATAACCCAATTATCCACAGAAGACACTGTGTGCAGACATTATTTAAAGGAGTTCGAAGACACTATAGCACTCCTGTGTTGAAGAGAATGGAGGAGCCAAAGGACGACCAAAGCTTCTTCATTAAGTCGACCAGCTCAAAGAACACAAATAATCCAAGTATTCAGAACACGTAAAAAAACCAATGCAATAACTAGTCACAACTACTATTATATATATATATATATGAATGTCCTAAGAAATGTAGAACCATTCACTAAGGAACTTTATATCATCTGATGTGCGAAACGTTTAAGAATTTATCAGTAAGTTGAATTTTTATCAACAAATAACATCCATTCAGCATGACAGACAATGTTACAGACAATCATAGTAACTGCACCACAAGTTTGGAAGTAATAGAGAAGATTTATGGCTCTAATGGGCGTTTTTGGCTTTTTTGTGTTTTCTAAGCTGCATGGTTCAGTCATGATGCTTTTACTGTCTTTTCAGTGTAACGTTACTTGAAGTAACACCCCTGAAACTATCGTCCACAAGGACAATGGATGCTCCACAATTGTAATACAAGTTACTTTATAATCGTTCACTTCTTTCAAGCATCTTAGTGTTTACTGTATATCCACTTGCATGTCCACACATTTTAAATACATACGATGAGTATATTTCCAGTTTCCACACTCACAAAATTATTCATCTCCTGAATGTATACAGAAAGAAGACATTTGTTTTCCCCTGATATACGTGAAAAATTCGTTCTTTAAAGATTTTTACAACCCATAAATGTGCCTGTAAATACCAAACTTAAATCGGACGATTATATAAGATGAAATTCAGTCGATCAGACTACTGGGCTACGATGCTAACATTAATAATGCACATTTGACCGGTGTGAATTTGTTCAGAATAATCGGTAAGAATCTCTAATCGTTAACGTTCATAGTTGTAACTCTGCGTTGACCATTTTCAAATCTCTTAAGAGGCTCCAGTTCCACTCAGACTTCAGATACGCCTCCTTGACCAGTGCTAACAAAGACGAATCCAGCTTAATATTATCATTATATTAATATTATATTCTTTAATTCCTAGAGGAACATAGGGCTTCAGCCACGAGTCTCCATTGCCTTCGGTTTTCTGCCAACTTTTTCACCCCGCTCCAAGTCTGCCCACATGCTTTCATCTCCTCTTCACATGACCTCCCCCGAGTTACCTTTGCACTGACGACCAAGTCGCCGCTTCCCTTTCGGGTTTCACTCGAGCAATGGTTTGTCTAGTGATGTCAGCTTAGTGAAGGCTTTGTAACAGCTGACTCTCACGAACAAGCATCGAATATAATATCTAAAATAATTAAAAGTTAATTTTTTTTTTCAAGTATTGGATTTTGTAGGGATTTTGTTTGATTGCATGGAGGATTTAATCATGAGCTGATATCAGTTAGAGAACCACTGGAAAACCTGGGAGTACTGGACAGCCGTTTCGTCCTAGTTTTGGGACTCCTCATCAGTACGCACCCACCGGGATTCGAACCCAGGACCTTCTGGTTACAAGGCGGGCTCGTAGACCATTGAGCCACTGGGACCCGACCCAATGGTCCTTGAATTCTAACTTCTGCTAGTTCACGTCATAGCGCGACCACTTCGCAATGTCTTCTTCGATGAGTTACTGCCTCGTGATCGACCTGCTGCACCCTACTGGTAGAAGTTAGAATTCAAGGACCATTGGATCGGGTCCCAGTGGCTTAATGGTATACAAGCTCGCCTTGTAACCGGAAGGTCCTGGGTTCGAATCCCGGTGGGTGCGTACTCAGTCCTTATTATTCCTTTACGTTCTCAGTGGAACATAGGGGGCTTCAAGCTAGAGGCTTGTAGTGTCGGTCACAGTGGTGATTACTTTTACACGATGGGGTTGCTAGCCTTATTCCTGACCTTCCCTCTTTACTAGTCTTATTACTGGCTTAGCAAGGTCTGGGACTGCGTAGGCTGGGGATCAAACCATGGACTACTTGCGTGGTTGGCGAGCATTCTTCCGCTGTGCCACCGACGCACAATTTAAAGTTAGTTACTAGTCTGTAATTTGCATTACAGATCGGTGCTTTTCAAATAATTATTTGATATATAAATTCTAGGAGTAGCACTCGATTATTCATATCAGTCACCACACCTTATAATATAAGTTGTAATTTTTGATAACACATAGTCATATCCAGCAGATTACATATAATGATGTATACTCTATCAGTTCGCCGAAGTAACTAGCCAAAAATTGAGTAATTCGTATTGACTCGTCTCTCGTAGATGAGTCTATACGTGCACATCTCTGATTTGCTCAACCTTAAATTGGGCTAAATGTTCATGTTTATATAACTTTGATCTGATTAGCAACACCACTGTAAGATGTGATTGCCTCTAAAATTACTCACAACACGCAATAGCACATTCCATCTTGATATTTCGATATTTTATAAAATAAATTGTTTCCATTAAGCAGATATGTAAGTAAATGTTTCGTATACTTTCTAGTGTGCGTGTGTGTGTGTGACAAAATTATGCTGTAAATAGCAACCACTCTTGTGGAAATTAATAAATTATTTTTTTATGCTTGTGTCATGAATGAGTCGCTGATTATCTTCTCATTAGTAGAGTCTGACTAAAACAAATATGCGATATTGTATATAAGATAAGGCATAAGACTATCCTTCGATGAAAAAAAACAACGCATAAAATTCATTCGAAACCTAAGTTAAATGTCTAATAATATGTCTTAAGGCAGGTTCATCATCGTATTTCCGAACATCATTCAGCTTGGTTAAGCAAGGGACAAACAAGATCTATTCGTAGCTCTATTTTTGCATACCTTGTAGACAGTGAGCATAAGGTTGACTGACGTTAATACTGCATTTGAAATTTTTGCATTGCATTCTTACTAACCTTAATTTTGTTTTATGAGTTCGTCTTCTACATACAGGTGAAGCCATAGGAATCCACCTGAAGAAGCCAAACCTGTATGTGTTCAGAAGAAATTTGTACAACCACTTTCCTTAACTTGGCCATCTTTACATGAATGTATAAACCGGACCACTTCACCCCCTCCCCCTAAGCCTTTAAAAATTATAACTATCCAAATTATTTTATTTTTTCTGACTGCATCTTTAATTACATGTTATCTCTGTAAAATTAATTTATTCTTATGACCACTTCACTCTTTGTTACAAGTTATCATTGTCCAAATAGTTTTATTTTCTTTGACAATCTGTTACGAGGTCAACCTGTGTACACGCTTATTTATTAAATACTCTTCATTTTTTCCAAAATTATACACAACGCAATCCATGTGTTGCAAGCATTTCTATCTCTTAATTGTATGTATTAATTTTTTTTCGTTAATTATTACCCCATTGACATGTTGATACCGACCAATTACGCCACTTGATGGGTAAATTGTTGTGTATTGTCATAAAAATGCTAAATATATTAGAGTAGAGCCAAGACGAGGATCCAATTGAAAGGTAAATGAGATTTCATCATGAGCTGATATCGGTTAGAGAACCATTGGAAAACCTGGAAGTTTCGTCCTGGTTTGGGACTCTTCACAGTACGCCCCTACTGACAGGGTCCGAACCCAGGACCTTCTGGTTACAAGGTGAGCTCATAGACCATTAAGTCACTGGGACCCGATCCAACGGCCCACAAATTCTAACTTCTACCGATTCACGAAATAGCGCAACAGCTGGCCAATGTCTTTGGCGAGTATTTACTCGCTAGTGGTTTAGTGATCCACGAGGTCAATAGTCTTGTAACCAGAAGGTCCTGGGTTTGAACCTCGGTTGGCGCCTACTGATGAAGAGTCCCAAACTAGGGCAAAACAGCTGTCCACTACTTTCAGGTTTTGAAATGGTTCTCTAACCAATTTTAGCTCATGATGAAATCCTGTAACCAACCAATCAATTCCCTACGAACCAATACTTGAAAAGTAAATATTTCTTCGCTCACTCTTTCTGCTTTCTTGATTTCTAATTGGGGATTTTTACTATATTTGATGATTAAGGCAAAGTTTCTCTGTTAATGAAAGTAGTTACGAGAATGTCTATCGAAAGTGATGATGAATTCATGTGTATAGATGGGGAAAAATGCATCACCGGTTCAATGGTATAATGTTCAGCAGACACTCATGTACTCTGAATCCGACTCCTGGACGACAAACATCTAAACCAGTTAGCTTACTAGCCATCGCTAATTCCGCAAAACGCTGGAGTTTTGGAGGACGGATTAGCAACCCTACACCACCAAAATAACACCGCTACTAGAACATCGAAAAACCTTTAGGTTCTGTATTCCAATAGGAACGCAACAAATGAAAAAAATTTCTTACCGTATGTGTTAAATGTGACAACAGTGGGACTACACCATGGTCAGTTATTACGGCTAAATTTTCTTCATCTTCAGCAATTTTTGAAACAGCAGCACAAACAGCAGCTAAAACTTCTGGATCTTTAGATCTTAATAAACTGACAATCAATTCAAGTCCACCAACAAATGAACGTACTAATTCTCCAGCATCCTGTTATCATTATGTTTACACAAAAAATGAGAAATAAAGGTATTTTTCTGAAATGCGGTTAATTCAGTAATTCATTATGTATATTAGTACAAGAAAGAATTTATAAAACCTGAAATTCATTCAAATGCTTCAGCGATAAAATGAGTAAAAAGAGGTCATTTATTTTTTTAACAGTTGAGCCGATTAGCCATAAAGGTAATTTCGGAATATGAATAATAGCTTATCCTTATGTTAAATATTCATTACAGCACAAAGAGGTTAGGTTAAATAGTCTCCAAACCACAGATTGAAGGCTGCTTATGCAAATTGTTGATTGCAATTAGCCTAGGAAGTATGTAGTTAGGTAAAACGTAACTCAAACTGCTTGAGAACATTGACATGAGGCCATTACTCAATAAACATCTGAACGAATTGAGCATTTATTATGATTTTCGTGTTTATTTAATAATCTTATAGGCTTATGTCGTAATCTACTGCCATTTGGCTTCCATTGATGTCTTATGTAGGGTGTTTTTTGTTGGAAATCGTTCACATGCGGATTGGATAGAGACATAAAATGAATTACGGCTATAGATGTTTGCGTTAAATTAGGCTGGAAAAGTAGCAGAGGAAGTCAAACCAAAACTTTTCATCAGTTCACGAAGTCCTTAACAGCTGGTTTGAGTTGTGTAGGGAGGTGTAGACTACCTGATTGGATTCCTCGAGATGCTAGAACCTCATAATTAAACAGTATTAGTGATATGGCTCAAAACTGTTCTCAGTGGCGCAGATGCATTCACTCTCTATGACCCCGCATATCGACTAAAGTGTTATATTTTTCTATGTGACTTTTTTTTCTCCCATAGACTTCTGCTTATTGTAGCACCTTTGAACACCTTCGCTCTTGTTTTTTCCACTTGTGTGTACTATATGGAAAGTGTCAACTTGAGTGTCTGTACTTCTGTGCAAATGTCTTCATTGAAAGTCAGTTGAATTACTAGATTCGTAGAAGTTTGTCTTATTTAAACTGATGTTTTAAGTTAGTATGACTAACTCAAACCCTCTGGATGATTGTCACTCTTCACTGTTGAAATTATTCTAACGACTAAATACCGCACAGTGAATTTATTCAGTGAAACTGTCCTATTATATTGATTTAGTGGATAACCCTTTGGCGTTTTAAACTATGGCTACTGGGTTTTAGCATTAATGAGAACATCACTCACTGGATAGTGCAGATAAGCTCAGCTAAAAAATCTTAAATAAGACGAAGTGTGCGTCCTGCATTTCACCGCTAGTCACCAACCAGCTAATAACATTGTGTTAATCTTCAGATATCTTTGAAGCGTCCATACTAGGAACTGACATCAAAACAGAAACCGAAGATTTCGGCCTAATGTATTGAATCAATGAGATATGCAAAAATAACTTAAACAAACAGTTTTGTTGTGTCTATTCGCACCTTTTGAAGTGGGAAACTACGAGTACTGCCTAAACTAGCCTTAGTATATTATCTCAAAGTGTTGACATGTGAGATAAACCATCGAAATTAATCACATTAATAAACTCAATAATCCATACGAACTGTGATCAGGATTTGACCGGATAGTTGCAAAATAATTCAGCGCTGAGTGAGAAGTAGACATTTATAAAGTTGTAAAATCTCAGTGAAATTGAAATGATTAATTCCAACGTTTTGTTCGGCAATCTGGTCCGAACTTCTTCAGGGAAGTTAACCGAAATTAACATAACAAAGTTTATATATAAGGGGACACCTCTTCTTTTTTTAAAATATTCTCCAATCATGAGTCATGCAACAGTTATCAATATGTATAATAAATAAATAAATAGAATTGTATGTTTATATAAAAGTACATCTCTTATTTTTAAATATGAATCAATAAGTATACTAAACAAAACAAAACAAAAATTGTATGAACTATGATCAAAAACTTTTTTGACCTCAGACTTTCAAAATTTGTCTACTTTTGTATTCAACTGGTGGATGGTGGCTAGCAGTGGAATCCAGGATGCGCATTTCGTCCTATTTAGGACTCGTCAGCTGGATGTACCTGCATTTCTCAGTGAGTGGTGATGTTCCCACCGAGGCTCAAACCCAGTGCCCATAGTTTCAAACGCCAAAGCGTTAAAATATATGTGTATATGCAGTATATGCAGGTTACAATGGTGTAGTGCAATCGCTGAGTTGTTTTCTAGCTTCTTCAAGAAACGAGACACAAAATCGACTTTGATAAGACTAAGGTTTTACAGAAAGGTTTTGGTTCATATCAAGAAAGACTGACTGCAGAAGCCCTACATATATGGGTGAATCCCAACAGATTAAACAGACGTGAAGGTGTGATGTTAGCTGATGCATGGAAAATCCTGACTAATAAATAAAGTAAAATTTGATATGTATGAACAAGTAGTCACACTTGGTCAAATTCCCGATTGTCTACGTCTTCTTATGGAGAGAATAACAAATTTATAAAAAATCAAATTATATTTATAAAAATATCAATTATTTTGTAACTATCCGGTCAAATCTTGATCACAGCTCATATGAGAATAGCAAAGGTTTTATGACTGTTCCACCCACACACACACCATTGTAACCTGCATATACTGCATATACACATATATTTTAACGCTTTGGCGTTTGAAACTATGGGCACTGGGTTTGAGCCTCGGTGGGAACATCACCACTCACTGAGAAATGCAGGTACATCCAGCTGACGAGTCCTAAATAGGACGAAATGCGCATCCTGGATTCCACTGCTAGCCACCATCCACCAGTTGAATACAAAAGTAGACAAATTTTGAAAGTCTGAGGTCAAAAAAGTTTTTGATCATAGTTCATACAATTTTTGTTTTGTTTTGTTTAGTATACTTATTGATTCATATTTAAAAATAAGAGATGTACTTTTATATAAACATACAATTCTATTTATTTATTTATTATACATATTGATAACTGTTGCATGACTCATGATTGGACAATATTTAAAAAAAAGAAGAGGTGTCCCCTTATATATAAACTTTGTTATGTTAATTTCGGTTAACTTCCCTGAAGAAGTTCGGACCAGATTGCCGAACGAAACGTTGGAATTAATCATTTCAATTTCGCTGAGATTTTACAAATATAACGTTATAAAAACTCAATAATCGTTTAATTTATACCATCAATAGGGGGTAAATTCTTTGTAAAATTAAAAATAACAGTATACAACTCAATCGGTATGGAAATCAAGGCAATGATATTTCATACCTTTGCATTTTGAATACACGGACATAGTGCCCAGGCTGCATAGGATTGAACTTTAGGATTTGGATTCTTCAACAAGGACCATAACAGGCGTACACCGTCTAAACTTTCGATAATACTGAGATAAAAATGTATCGACGGCTTTATTCTTAACTTTTTACAGTAAAATTGATTACCAAATTATACAAGTTACATCAAAATACAGCCGGAGAAAAATCCTGTACTCATAGTAGAATGTAAAGTTTAAATGTACCAACAATCGAATTATGTCTGTGTGTTTTAAGAAGAAAAGCTTTCGAAAATGTGTTTGAGTTAAATGTAAAAGCTCATAAATGATTCGTCTACACTATCCTCTTTCCTTTTTAAAATGGTTTTATCTTAGCAAACTGAAACATTGTCAAAAGTAACTGCCAACGAAGTTGATAATAAGACGGGAATGACAAAATTCGAAAATAATTGAAAACTTTCCATAATTGAAGAAATAGAAATAAAGACCGGTAGTCACTCCGGCTACTTTGCCTAATGGTGCATGGCATATAACTCAATAGTTCAAAGAGAAACTATCACTAATTCAGCACTATTATTCGTTATTCCCTTAGGTTCCTGGTGGAACATAAGACTTCAACAACACATTTCTATTTTACTGTTTTCTCTGTCGTCGTCTTTACCTGTTTCCACGAGTGATCAGAAGCTCTCAACTCCTCCTCATACTAGAACTCTTATCTCGTCATTTCCCGTTTACATCCTACTCGATTACCTGCATGAAGCACGATACCGTTCAACGATCACCTCAACGTGTGTCCAATCCATCTCCACTTTCCTCGAGATATTTTGGGCAATAGGTTGTTGCTTGGTTCGTCATCTGCCTGCTGCAAATCGTTTCTGACAGGCCATCTGATCTTTATTATGGTAAATATCTGCACCAGGCTGTGTGAAATGCTTCTATTGACATGCCAACTCTCTGAACCATGTACAAGAATTGACTTGACATTAATGTCAAAAATCCAAATCCCGTTCCTTATGCTGAATGCTTCGGATTTCCACACAGATTTCAAATGAATGAATGTTTGTCTTGCTTTTCCGATCGTGACTTTGATATCCTCATCACTGCAGACTGTAGTTGAGCTAATGCTGCCCAAATAATTGAAATAGGTTACTTCTTTCAAATATCTCCTGTCTGTAGTGATTGACACTTGTTGTTTTTGGTTAGGTAACTTTATCACCTGTGTCTTCTCAGTGTTTATTCAAAGTCCTGTCTTTACTGCTTACCTCATCCTCCTCCTCCTCCTCCAACTTGTTAGTTTTCACCTCTAGATCTACAATTCTATTCAGCATTAGACCTAAATCACCTGCAAAGGATAAATCTTCTAGAGTCTGTCTGTCAGTCCGATATATTCCTATCTTATGGCTCCCCACCGCTTTCCTCATGGTTCAGCCTACCACAGACAAAAATATCATCGATGATGATGGGCAGTCTAGCCTTTCACAGAGTCTTTTGTTGTGAATAATTTGACAGGTAACTTCATCATATAGCTGTTGAATGTGATTGATAAATATTTGGACGATTTACTTTGTAGTGTTAAAGCAATATCCAAATAACTTCGTGGTCAATACTATCAAAGGTTTTTTCCAAATCGATGAAGTTCAGGTAGAGGTTTATTCGTCGTTTTATTCTGTCTTGATGATGATGATGATGCGTAGCGTTGTGATTCGGTCTTCGTATGATTTACTTTTCCTGAATCCAGCTTGTTCCATGTAGAGTTTTTCACCCAGATAATCTTATAGTTTACTACTTTGCCTGATTGTATAAAGCATATTACTGAACCGTTCAAAGAAAAACTACTACTATTAGTAGCATGTGATTTCTACCCACATATTCTAATTAATTTGACTACCCGTGCAGCACGCTTGATACCTTCAGCTGACTATTTTGCCTCTGACTAGTCACCTTCAACACTGTATCTAGTGTACAGTTTTATCTGTAAATTTGAGTCAACTTGAGAAAATTGGTCAATCTTGTAGAGTATTTTTTATTTTTCAAAGCAATCATTGACATATGTTTCAGGTGCATAGCATCTACCTACTGTGATTCAGTGTCATTAGTTCACAGTTAAAGATTCAACTATTTATTTTTTTATTTTATTTTTGATTACAGCTTGATTCCACACCGTATTTTAGGGACAAGTGTGGAATTTTCAGCGTGGATATCGGTAGCCCGAAATTCGCAGGCCGACCATAGATATCAGGTGTGCGTCGGCGTGGGCTCGAACCTCGGACCATGTGTATGGTCGGCGAGAATCCTAACCACTGTGCCACCGACGCAGTGGCACTGATATTCTGCCTTTACTGCTTTTCTGTTTTCGCAGTCCCTAAAAATAACTTCATTGTTGACACGTTTCCTTTCATCGACACAGAAGCAGAATGTATCATTCAATACATTGCTAACCTATTTCTCAAAAAAGTATCTTATGCTAAGCATAATGGTAAGCATCGTAGCACGTGCTCACTACTAAGATAATCAACTATAATAACATCAGAGTATTATTCATAATCAATTAAAACCAGAAGAAGTGATTCAAAAAAATGACATTTAAAGTTAGTCAATGTTAACTTTTTTTTTACTTCTCAATAAGAAAATTAATAGCCCTTGATGTAGGACGTTAGTGTAAATGTCAACTTGCCTGACTGTTATTATCAGATATCACATAGTACTGCCTAATTATATATATATATATATATATATAACGGGAGATGAACTATGCGGGGAATATACTCTACATGTATTCATGACATCTGCATATGTTGATTATATAACTGATAAGTTAAGGTAATTAAAATATGCATTACCTATAACTAATTTTCCACTACACTAGGAAATGAATACAGAAATGCATAAAACTAACTGCAGTATGCTGTAGATTCTATCACCTGTGATAAAGTGTAGCCTGCTTAATGGAATTTATTGCCATCATTATTGATAGCATGTGAATGTGACTATCCATATGAGTGGTGATCATAAAAAAGACAAAAATTACATTACGAAAATTTTATACTTAAACACTTATTTATCCATCGAATGCCATTCCCCTCATAATTATGATGACGTTAATGATAATGGTAACTGCTTATTGTATCTCTATAATATTATTATGATTTTCCTATTATACTTTTTGGTTGATGGCTTGATTCCATACCGTATTTTTGGTACAAGTATGCAGTCTTCAGCATGTATTATCGGTAGCCCAAATTTCGCAGGCCGACCGTTGATATCACGTGTGCGTTGGCAGGGGATCGAACCCCGAACCGTGTACATGATCAGTGAGAGTCCTAACCGATGTGCCACCGACGCACATTACAAATAGAATGACTCTTTGTATCATAAGGGGCTGGCATAACCCAACCCTTACTCCTACAATTCGTTAACTCTTGCATTCCGCCTATTATTCTCTATTGTTCCCCCTTAGTTTTTCCTGGGCTGGGCTACTGAAGAAAGACTATGCCCTATTACGCAGAATGTTAAAGGTTGTCAGCAGGGTAAGCCACAGGGTGCCACTTAACCAGCTTGTTAATATTCTGGTTTACAGGCACTTGGACTCATGTGAAAAATGGGCTAAATCCATTTTATCTAACTCACACTACCCTCTTCATTCACAACTCTCCCCTTGTATCTCATCAGCCAGGACCAGAAGCCAATATAGAAAACTATATGCTAGCACTAGCAAGTACAAAACTCAACCATACCCAACTTAACTCGTGTTCTGTGTACGATAAAGAAAGCATTAGGCGTGATACCTATAACTTATTAAATAGTCAGTAGAACAACTGGATCTCGTCTTTCCAACTCATTATTTATAGGTACAAAGTTTTTTCTTTTCTTTTCCTTTTATTTTTCTGTTATGTGCTGTTTTGTTCCTTTCTTCCTTACAAACTCTATTAAAACATTCTTCGTTCTCTCACACTCTGTATATCTCGACCGTTTTGTTACCGCTTACACGAGTAAAAATGGTAGTATCTAATTTTCTAACACCTTCAATCACTCTGTTCAATTTTGACTTTGCTACCAATATGCCAATATGTTGTTGTCAAAATGAACTAAGATTCCCCTAATCTATGTAGAATTTTATTTATTGATAATGTACTAAGTGGATGCAATACTGTAGTGAAATGTTGAGAACTGCATTCTGTATCACAAGTACTGTTTTGGAATAAAGCAAATTATTATTATTACTATAAGTGGGGATAGAGAAAAATAATGAACAAATCAAGAAAAACTAAAATATCATTCCTTATCAAGTGAGGAGATTAATTCGGTCTGTTGATAGTTCACTGACTGAATAAACTTCTTCTGTATGCAGAATTTAAGATTTAATTTTCAAAAAAGAGTCTCACTGAAAATAGTCAACTTGAACATTTCATCAAAAAAATTCCTGTTGCTAAAACCGCCCAAAAACCGCACATTTCTCTTTCTAAATCTAAGATTCAGTGAACATCCATTACCAAAAATACTAAAAAACTGCCTATTGCGTTCATTGGAGAAAATACTCTTCTTCTTGCCTGTATTGAGACTTACTTTTTCTAGAAAACCAATAATTCACATAAACTTAGAGGATAAGCTACCATTGCTGGTCTTATCACTGTGTGTATACCAAGTCATCTGCTTTTTTGGAGCTAAGCATTTGTTATCAAAATGTATCACTAAATATTTACACTAATGATTTTTACAATAGGGAATAAGTTCCCCCTGAGGTTCAGTTCTTCAACACCTGATCGACTTTGGAAACCAATTGAACCTGCAAATCAAATTTAAACTCGTCCATAGAGTAAGTGGAAATGTTGCCAAACGGGTACGAATTTCTTCAAAGCTCAGAAGTTATAGTGATCCGCATATTAAATCCTAAACTTTGCACACGGAAGAATTCTGTTCAATCGCTGAAAATTCAATGGACTTATTTTGTCTTATCACCAGAGGCGTGATTTTTGTTAATAATAATTCTCCAGTGTTTTTTTGTTATACTATTTTTCAAAAGAATGGTTACTTAGCAAGGAATATTTTTTGCGATAACTTCATCATCAGTTTCTACAGTTTCTATATATACATAATAGTGAGTGAATTAGAATTATTAACAGCATTAATGTTGTTCAAATAATATCGAATAATATCAGTGGATTACAGTTTAGTATCATCGACGTAATACACTGAATATCAGAAAAATTGGGAAAAATAATATTACAAATTCATGAATTTGTATTCTCCACTGAAGGCCAGCCAGGGTAGTAGCAGTGTGTGGACTTGTTTCATTTGCACATAGAGTATCGGCTGTTTAAGGCGAATCGCGGTAGCCTCTGCTGTTTGGAGTATGCGGTACCTGGATGATTATGGCATTTTATTTGGTACCCAGTAGATGATGGAGTAGGACTTTTCAATATTAGCTTGGTGGCTGGTTAGGACCAAGTGGTCTAATATCAAACTATTGTTGGGTTTTACCACACCTCTATTTAGCCACACTGGCAGATGTTCCCGAGAACAAAAAATCAAGTTTCCGGAGCAATGACTAATATAACTTCCCTCTACAAGCGCAGCTGAATTCGCAGATACATGTAAAAGTGGCTAGTCTAGGTACTTCATTTATCAGTCGAGGAATCACTATCGGTAGTACAGAAAATAAGAACTGTAGTTTGACAGAATTAAAAGTTCTTTGAAACGATTTCCGTAACGGCTTCGTAATTATTTCACTAGGTATACTACCCTTGAATCGCATTCGTATGTATAAAGGCCTCTTCTTTTCTCCACCGCCACTATCACATCTCTACTCCTTGTGACTATGATCTTAACGTGACTCTCAATTCTAGTTGACTCCCACTCAGTTCTGTCAGTAATGACTCTCTTTCATGTGCATGTAAAAGACTCAAGGGATAAATTATTTTTCTGAACACACAGTATAATCCAGAAACCACCATGCAGTGACAATTACGATAATACCAGTCGAAAACACTTAGGTTAGTAGTATTGAAATAAACTAAGATAACGGAAATTTGTCGGTCAAGTGGATGTTTCTTCATTGGTGTTATTTTCTCAGAGCTGAATGTTATAGTTATGAGGCTTTCATTTGCCCCGTTAGACAGTAGCTTCATCGATAACTTCACTTAAAACTAAGCACACCATAAATTAGTTAGAATGAACGACAGTCAAGGTATTAGCACTAATTATGAAAAGGTGGTAATACAAGTAGTAATTTTTTAATTATTGTTTTATTCCCTTGTCTTCTGGGTGAAATACAGGGCATTTAGATCCCACTTTGGATTTTCAGCAGCAGTGGTGTTGTTCTTTTCTTAGTGAGGGGGGGTCTGGGGGTTTAGTCCTTAGACCCACGCCCGACCTACGCTCTTTACTGGGCTTACCATCAACTAAGCGAAGTTTGGCAGTGCATCGGTCAAGACTTGAACCCTGAATAACATGCTTCAGTAGCTTACAAATCACCATTGAGTCATATGAAAAAGGGAAGACGTTCATCGAAGAGACTCTTTTCGGCGAATCCATTCACATAGCTGTACAATCGCATTTATATAGAATTATTTGTGTGTGTACATGACGTTTAGATAACTGATCAGGTAATACAAGAATGATCTAATATGGAAATAAGGTTAGTTAGACAGCAACTAAAGTAAGATTGAGTTAGTAAGTTAGACGATGTGATATAATTGACTAAAATGTTTCAACTTAAGTCAGGGTAGCAACAGAGGTAATTACAGGTAGAGACTAAGTAGAAGTAGAACTGAAATTGAGCAAATAAGTTGGATGAAGTAACATAAGTGACTTGAAATTGAGCGTTGGTCAAGTCAGTAACAGTGGTTATGAGATGCATAAATTAAATCGGGTGGGGGTAGAGAAAAAAGAGGTTGAAAATGTAAAATATTATAATTGAGAAGACAAAATAATAATAAAAGTGAAGGGACAGAAGAGAAAAGGATTAGGTAAAATTTACCTGTCCGGTAATAAGATAGATTACGTCCATTGCAAATGCAGTGACTGAATGAACTCCTTCTGTATACAAAGTTCAGGAGTTAGCAAGTGAATAGCCATTGCTTCTGCAGTTTGAAGAAGTTTGATTCGTACACCTTTAGGAAGACTGCTTCGTATTCTGTAGACGACTTCGAAGTTTGTTTGGGGTGCAGCTTGATGTCTGGAACTTATCAGATGTTCTAAGATAGAGCTGTGGGGGCATTATTTTTCTCCTTTGAAAAACCATATTGGTAAGTGTTCGGTGTAACGTTTGGAAAGCGAACGCTGTTATTACGTCTGTCGCTACCCTGACTTAAGTTGAAACATTTTAGTCAATTATATCACATCGTCTAACTTACTAACTCAATCTTACTTTAGTTGCTGTCTAACTAACCTTATTTCCATATTAGATCATTCTTGTATTACCTGATCAGTTATCTAAACGTCATGTACACACACAAATAATTCTATATAAATGCGATTGTACAGCTATGTGAATGGATTCGCCGAAAAGAGTCTCTTCGATGAACGTCTTCTCTTTTTCATATAACATGCCTCAGCTAATAGAACACTGAAGGCTGATGATCCTAATCTCGTCAAGATCCAAGTTTTCCCTCCAATTCCACTTATTACCATTATCAACTTAAGTATTAATCTTTCAAATTGAAACCAGTTCGCACAATCTGACTAGTTAAATAATTAGATGATAGAAAAAGCCAATTTCTTTTTATGAAGACGTAAATCTTCAGCCTTCATTCAAAGATTAAAGAACAATATGAGTACAGTCTATTCAGAAATCATATATCTTCTTGATTTTTCTAAGAACAGAATTGTTACAAGTTTGAATGGCATTAATCTTCAGAGTTCTTACATACATCTCCATTAAGCCACTCTGTAAAATCATAGTACCTCGTTTCTGTTTTGTTAAAACTTTTATTGTCTCTTTTATCAATTTAACAATACTGTGAGAAAACTGTATCCTGCATGATAGATTTACAAATAGAAAGAATTGAGTGAAATTAAGAATGATTACTAATCATTTCAATCTAAACTGTCTAGTTTATTTCGTTGATAAATCAGCAAAATAATTTTCAAAATGGTGTAGGTCAACTGGTGAACTGTTACTGAGACAATTAGTCCTGAACTGGATTTTCAATGAAGAACTTTGCGCTAAAGAACAACAGTTCTGTTTGTCACACCTCATTAAAAGAACAAATAAAGGCAGGAAGGCGAAATGCAGAGAAACTATAATAAAAAGAAATTTACTAGGGAGAGAATAATTACATGCGGAATAATGAAAACTTAATAGGTCCAGGAGATCATAAGGAATTTATATACTTTCTCTGCCGAGGTATTGTCGGGCTTGCATATCACAATGACGCCACAAGCTACACTGGCTGGAAAAAATGTTCTTGTACGCCCTACTTTCACCACAAAGATGATTTGGAAAGCGGTTCAACTAAAATCAATTACTAGCAAAGTGTCACTTGTTTACACTATGTTTCAGAGAGGTTTGAGGATGAAGTCTTAATGTTTGAGAAGAGGGATATAATAGCAGTAAGAGGTTCCCCTCAAACGTTCAGCAGGCCAATTATGATACAGGAGCAACTTCGAAAACCTCACTAAACGAACAGTGTACGACTTGCTTTAGGCAGCTGTCTCTTTGTGCTCTGCAGTCACACAAAATCCAAGGTCCTCCTATTTCAAGTATTTTAAGACTAAACCGAATTCGACAGTGTGGGCAGCTAAAAGGTAATGACCACCCACACGCCTTTTAAACACTTTTTTCCTCCGTAACATATGAGGGTAAATTTTGATATATTTACCTTTTTTATTATTATTTATTTTGATATATATTTACCTGGTGAGTGTCAAAAAAAGGGGTTTTCGTATTCATGAAGTTATTTCGTCAGCAACTAGTAGATCAAGAAAAACGTAACCTCTTGAATAAGTTAAATGGCCAGTACATTTTATCTTTCCTAAAGATGAGTCTGCGTTAACTATTCATGCATCATTTTTTTTACACTTAAACGAGACTTATCTTATGTTTGACATACCTGTAAGTTTCCTAAAGATAAACAAAAGACTGTATTTTCAGTATCCCTATCTCGAAGGTCGACATCTCCAACTCCTAAACAAGTAAGAGAATTTCAGTCTGGTGTCCTGTTCAGCATAGTATGCCTTCTTAGAACTTAAAACAATGCCATATCTCTCAAAATAACTAGCTATAGGGATGTTAACAGGTAAAAAGCCTACTGACAAGTACCAAACTCAAGAACTCTTAAAACTATGGAACAGTGAGCATTTGGTTAACGCACTTTCCTAGTTTTCACGAGTTTATTTCTGCTTAGCTCCACTCAGTGTTCTTATGGCTAAGGATTACAAATACTTTATTAATAAAGCTGGAAATAAGACGAATTTTATAGATTATGTACCATGATTAATCTGAAGCATGTAAGGGGATACAGTCAAGTTGTATGGTATATTTTTGTAATATTGATGTAAATTCCTCAACTTTCACTCATATATATATATATATAAACGTTAATAAGTTCTCATACCTCATACTTTCAAGTTCTTCAGCACATTTTCCAACAGCCTTAGTTGTATTAGTTAACAATTCTTGATTTGTTCTTGTTAACAGGGCTACCAAAGGTGCGATCCCACCAGCTTTACGTATAGCACTTCGATTGGCTGCATCTTTAGCCATTTCACCAAGCGCACCAACCACATTTACTAAAACCTAAAACAGATCCAGTTAAACACATTGTTAAGAGAAGTAAACTATATGAAAACACAAAAAAACGTCAAGATCTTCAAAACAAACATTACGTTTTCGGATGATGACTAAAATGTGCGATCAGAAGTAATGCAGCGAACTTTATCCGACTTTACACTGATTAAATGATCATGCAATTGAGTAAACCCCGAAGATAATGTAGGTATCAGATGAATAATAATTATGAAGACAACAGTCTATTATTGTGTGGTGTTATAATATTTCCTTATAGCAACTCAACTAACAAACCTGGAAACCTATGGCACTAAATTTATCTTAAAGCTTTCCCGGCAGCAATTAATTGGAAGCTTTATTGAAATGATTTTTCGAAAATAGATAATCAGCAAGCTTTAATACACCACTATTCGTTGTCTACATCCCAGATATCTATTCGGATCCTTATCAGTTGAACAGTCCATCTAATTACGAGAATGACGACTTTCCTTTCTGATGGAAAATATATTATTTCAGGGGAAGATCAAAGGTGAAGTAATTTAGATAGTGTTTCAAAACTACGAAGTGCAATTCCCCGAACATTTATCATTCATATTCATCAGTTATAAAGTGAGGCTACGTGTCGAGCGATTTACAACGAAATGAAGACAGGAATAAGATAAGGCTGTCTACCATCACCAATCATATCCTTGACTGTGTTGGACTCGGTCACGTGGGAGGACATTAAGAACTAAAAGACGGACACAAGTTGGGCCGAAAAGAAGACTCTAAAAGAGTCGGAATTTGAGGTTGATTTATGTATTATGTCATACAAATTCGAAGATCCACAGGCAAAGACCAGCCAGTTGACAGAAGAGGTAGGTAGCGAAGACACAACTTCAAGCGAACACAAAAAAGACAGAAGTAGTGAAGATAAGCAACCAACAAAAATAAATACCAATCACCATCAACAAGAAGAATTTGAAGGAGATCACATAAATAGCACTATTTCAACTGCAGGTAGCAGAAATGAGGTTGTCAAAGCCAGTTGGGATTCGAAAAGCAAAACAGATTTTCATTACTCTGAAATCAGTGAGGAAATCTTCTGTACTCAGAGTAAGACACGAGGTTCTGACTTTCAACAGTAATGGCTTACGTAGCTTGTCACGAAAGGCATTTCCAGTATCCTTGTAGCTGAAGATTAAAAAGTCGGCTAGATAGGATTAGAAACAGAGAATTCTAGCAGGTAACTAATCTGCCAATAGCCTATTGCGCAACAAATATTCAGGGAGAGATGGAGATGGATTGGACATACACGAAGGAGATCGTTGAGTGACATCAAACTCTAGGCAGTCCCTCAAGTAGGACGTGAATAGCAGTCAACGGTTTAGGCGTTTATTCACGTGTGAAAATGCTATAGATCGTGTTAGCAGGAAACTGAAACTAGTGGGAAAGGTCAAGTATGCTGAAATAAATTGCACAGTAAAGGGTGAAATGGAGACGTGCTGTTGAAACCCTCTGTCCCACTTGAAATCCAGAGGAATAAGAATGGGATAAGAACTCAGAAGTCAGAGCTCCTTTAACTACACCAAACTAAATTATTCTACTACCGTTCAAAATTTATTTTATATTGTGTATTTTAATGGGACTCTTTACCATATTTAATTTGTTAAAATATTTCAATCTTGTATATTTAATCCTACAGTGAATTAATAAATGAACAACAACATTAAAATGTATCTGATTAAATTAAAAAATTTCTAAAAACAGATAGCTGAAATCAACGCCATAAAGTTTTTAAAAAAACTAAAACGATGCTTATTAAATAAGGCAATATAAACAGTAAACAATTAAAACAAAATTGGAACATTGAAGTTATGAATATTAAATATCCTGTTAAATGGTTTCCTGGATAATTGAACACCCGCGCCTAAATCTGTTTGCATTCTTGTAATAAAATTCTAATATTATTAAAGGAAGAGCAAGATTTTGTAGCGATAGTCTGAAGAGTAGCTAAATTGATCAAAGTGAAGTATTTTGTAACTAAATAACCGGCTTGAAATGAACTAAGGATTAAATAATGTAAAAAAAAAATATTTACTGTATATTCCTAAAAATGTTCAGTGATGAATTAATTTTTCTGTTAAATCAAACAAACGTGGACGCCAAGTAACAAAAGATAACAATCCGACTCATTACTTTATTGCTCTTGCTTTAAACGAGCTTGAACGAAAAGTTACTGCTTCTACGATGGGATATTTAGGAATAGGCATATTACAATTGAAGAGAGGGGAATTTAGGGAAAATAATTCTCACGCTTTGGTTGGAGGATCACATCATCAGCTGATATCAGTTAGAGCACCATTGGAAGACCTGGGAGTGCTGGACAGCTGTTTCGTCACTCTGGTTTGGGACTCTCCATCAGCACGCACCCACCAGGGTTCGAACCCAGGGCCTTCTGGTTAGAAGGCAAGCTGGTAGACTTCTGCCAATACAGGTATCTTCGATGTGCAGTGTAATGAGTCGTTTAACTTCGGTAGATGAAATTCAGCTGATATTTAGAATATGACATATCCTCAGTCTCTAATGGGCAACAAACGAAAGAACAAGCCACATTTCAACGGACAATTCACCCAGATATAGATATATATATATGCTGATGGTGAGACCATGCAAGATATTCTTAGTTAAGTGGACTGTTACTGATGAAGTGGGCAGATCGACGGACTAGAGTAGTTCATCTGGTTCCAACCCCACCACGACCTACATATTCATTTAAACACAGCAATACCCTAAATCTGATATTTCAATCAATTTCTACTACTGTTTGAACTATTCAGCTGGTAAACACATCGACTATTTTTACCTCTAGAAAGTGATCAGATAATATTCAACTGAACAGTAAATAAAATAAACTGAAGTGACAAAATGGAACATTTGAACACTCCTCATTTTAAGCAAAAGTAACAAGACTAACAAGAACACCAATAACAGTAGTAACGAGTAATTAACAATAAAAGGTTAGAAAAGTAAATTTCACAACTATTTTGTTTAAAAGGTAACCAATGTGGAAATAAAATATTCTTTACTTTCTCAGTTCTTGCAACTAATTGTATTCTAGGTGACACTGAATCAACATAGAGATAGTTGTTCATCTGTTGAAAGAAATTATTTTATACGGAACAAATAATGGTAGCAGTTACTGTGAAACATATACACATATACAAGTTAAGCAGAGAATATGGCATTTTATGATTTTTTCTGAGGCTGTTTTGCTTTTTGATCTGGATGGTTTGATTACTAGGCTTTCGTTGTCTTTCTGAGTAACATTTTCAACACAAAAACATCCACCTGAGCCACGAATCCTCTTCACTACTTCAGGAATTATCTGATGTAGATTCCGACAGTCATTTTATTGAAAATGACTATACGTTAGAGCGAGCTAATGAAACCTTAGTGACACCTTTCAGGTTATTTCCAGTTAGTGAATCACGGATTAAAAAGGTTTGCAAGTTATAATTAAATCTAATGAGTGAAGTCAAACCATCAGTGTTCTCAGCGTATATTTGGTTGTAAAGTTCACGAGTTCACTATCCTACAATCCATTTTCACTGAGGAATTGAAATGAACTAGATATGCCACTTTCACACGGCTTATTTAACTTCTCAGAAAGATTTATTCTGAATTTAGTTTCAACAAAAAGTTATTAAGATTACAGGACTTATTGGGATTTCAGGTCGCATAAATTCCATTTGTTAGATTTTTCTTCTAAAACCAATATCAATTTGAGAGATCACTGAAAACTAGGAAACGTCGGATAGCTGTTTCATTCTGTTTTGGAACTTTTCATCAGTGTACACCTGCAATCCCATCTGCAAAATCAAACTCAAGACCTTTAGGTTACGAGGGTAAGCTCGTTTACCAGCCAGGCGATTGGGCAGGAATTCAGAGACCTGTCTATTCTAACTTTGTCATTTCGTGATATAGTGCTACTATCATTGATGCCTTCTTTAAGCATCCACTTTACCTTGACATAGTGGACCCCACCGATCAAGACTTTCTAATGTAGCTTCAGGAAACCTATCCAGTAGCCGGCGATTGATATTCAGATTAAAGGATCTGTCAAGATTTCAAATTAATTTCAGTTGTTAGTTATTCCTCACGAACCAGCATTAGTCCAGTGTCCAGTGTTCCCCGGTTTTGAGTGATCTCTCTAAATGGTATTGGTTCATAACAGAAATTTGACAAGTGAAAATGTCAGTAATATGAAGTATTATTCAAAATTAATCCTAAACTACTAAAGCCTTGCATTTTCTTTCCAACCAGAAGCAGTCTAACATAATCTGAGCACATCATAAAAACAGGTGGATAAACTGTTAAAGTCAAGAAGATTATTTTCATATCACTGAAGGCAGGCAATACAATTAACCTTAATTCTGATTATTATTATCCTTATTATTCATTTTGGTTCCGAGTGCAACGTGGGGCTTTAATAGCACATCTCCACTTTCTTCTATTTTCTGTACTCCCCTTTAGCTGCGTCTACAATTGCCCGAAATCTCTCATCCCCTCCTCGCCACATGATCTCCCCTATGTCACCCTCGCATCGACCACCCACTCCTCACTTCCCATACGAGCGATGGCCTGTATTGCACGCGATGTCATTCGGCGGCCTCCTCAATGTATGCCTGGTCGACTCATCTCCATTCTCTCCTACATATTTGTTAATCAATTGGTTACTGCTTGTTGGTTTGTTGCTAGCCATAATTCTTTCTGGCTAGCCGGTTGGCCATTTGATCTTCAGCAAGGAGTTGGCGAAGGATGCGGTTCTCCCCACGGCCGATGCACTCTTAAACCTCGAGAAACCGGTATTAAGACCGGTAAGGAGGAAAGGAAGTGGTTGGGCTAGGTGAGGCTAGCAATCACACCTAGTAAAAATAAAACTCCATTGTTATCGAAACGTTAGACCACTGGATTGAACCCCTATGATCCATTCGGAACGTAAAAGGATTAAATAATAACATTTGCCAATTCACGACATAGAATGACCACTTCGTTTTTTCGATGAGTCACTGTCCTCACCTTTGACCTACCATACCCTACTGGTCACGGCTTCGCCCTAGAACCCCAGATAACTTCCTGAATAGGGCTAGTCGCTAGTGAGCATCAGATCGATCTTCAAGTATTGGTTTGTAGGGATTTGACTGATTGATTACAGGATTTTATCAGGAGCTGACATCAGTTAGAGAACCACTGGAAAACGTATGAGTACTGAACAGCTGCTTCGTCCTGGTTTGAATATGCTATCAGTGGCTTAGTGGCCTACGCACTCGCCTTGTAACCATAAGGTGCTAGGATCAAACCACTGTGGTAGGTTGCGTATAGATGCAGAGTCCTAAACTAGGACGAAATAGCCGCCCAATACTTCCAGGTTTCCCAGTACTTCTCTAACTGATGTCAGCTTATGATGAAATCTTCCAAATGATCAGATAAAATCCCTACAAATCAATTAAATTTTTCCAATGAATGTGCAAGTCACTTCATATACCTTTATGTTCAGATAATTTTTCCTCAATAAAATAGAGGTTGATTATGTGAATACTTTACCCTAGCATTGGTTTTTTTTATCAGTCGACAGGTGGAATAATATCAAAGTTGCGGTTGATATCTTGCTGTCAGCCATAGTTTCTTGTTGCTAATTCTTTCTGGCCGGCTTGCTATTTGATCTTCACTATGATATAGCCTAATTCTAATATCACGGATTAAATCTTCTACTGAAATTAGACTAATTATCTGACAATTAGAATTCTTCAACTCTATAATTGAATGGAAAATTACCATTACGCTTTACTGTGACAATACAATCCTATGAGAAAACAGCGTTTAACATACAGCGTTTTAATCGTGTGAAATAAAAGAATCACTGGAGACATGTTCTTTTATATAGCCAGTGTTAAACAGGAAATAATTATATTCATAGAATATTATATTACGCTATTAAGAATAAGAATCACTTAGGCAAACAGGTGTATTCCTTGAAGACATCTCAGTTTTTATTGTTTTTTTCTTAATTCTAGTGTATAAAGGAAGTGAATAGAAAGGCTGTAATTTTCTGCCTACATTCATAGGCCTATGAGTTACACTAACTACACTGCCTGTAAACCAACACACTGCTTCTAATTATACAAACAAAAAGGAACAGAAAACAATTTTTTAAAAACCGATTAAACTAAACTGATGTAAACAAGTTTTATCATAAGACGAAGAAGAAGGAGAATATTCTAGGAGGATTCACACATTTGGAATTCACTAAATACAAATCTACATCGGTCAGTCAAATAGAAAAGAAAGCGGAGTCCAACTTTCTGGAATAATTTCTAAGAGTTTTTCTTTTTTTTGTTTCTGATAATGTTACATTTGCATATTCAACCAAAAAGGAGCTATTTTCATTTTCACAAACTTTTTTATAATTTATGACTTTGTATTTCTAATGAATACAATACAACAGAGTAAAGTGGGTAAAAAAAGGATTATAAGAACTAAGGGGAAGAATAAATTTACAGTTTATGAATAAACTGCTTAAAAAGGAAAATAGACTAGTTACGAGAAAATGTTTCTAATCTAAATATTCTTAAAAACTATGCTATTGTTTATAGTATTTGAAAACATCAGCGGTCAGATTATCTGGACATAAGAGTTTTAGCTAAGTGTAAACTGATTGGCGCCACAAAGATGATTGGTATAGAAAGAAACTCAGTAATGGCAATGTTCTAACAATGCACTAACACGCATCCAAACGATGAGGGTAGGATAGAGCTATAGTTCTCAAAAGTGATTACATTAGTCAGAGAGGGAGGTTGTCCACTGAGTTGTTGTTTATCGAATGTACAGCCATCATGTTCAGTAGGAATGATTCGGCGACAATACCAGATATATTATTATTTTTATTATTCCTTTAGGCTCTGAGTGGGACATAAGGCTTCAGCAATAGACCTCCACTTTCTTCCATTTTCCGCTGTCCTCTTCGTCTGAGTCTACGATTTCCCACTCATCACTTCCCGTTTCAACTGCATTCGAGCGAGGGCCTACATTTCGCGCGATGTCATCCGACAGCCTACTCAACGTATGCCCGACCCATCTCCATTTTCCTCTACATATTTGTTGAGCAATAGGCTTGTGGTCACTTGGTTCCCAGACAAAGTTAAGTTACTTGTTGCTAATTCATTTTGGCCGGTCATTTGATCTTCAGTATGGAGCGAGTGAAGTGAGCAGTTGTTGTTAAAAGTCTGTAACATGTTGGAAATCCTCTTTGTGACGCTCAATGCACATTTGTGTTGAAAATCAAAATGTAGTTATTTATGTTGAGTGAGTGCAGAAGATTTCCAAATTAGTTTCTTGCCTTTCCGATCCTGACTGGCTGGTTTTGACATCATCACCATCATCATCATCCGTTCCCTCTATGGTTGAGACATTTCTGACTGCCGAGATAAGTGAAGGAAATAACCTCTGTCAAATTTCTTCGATTGATGGTAATTGGTGATGGTTTCTGTTGTTGCTGCCGCTTTTGGTTGGTTATCTTTATCACCCCACTCTCCTTTATGTTATCCTGGAGTCCCGTCATCACTGTTTCTTCGGCGAAAACCAGACATACAGTAAATAATAATACCAAAACAACCAGGGGGTAAAAGATAATAAAACTATATAAACGCATACTGGAAGTTATTTGAGTGTCTTGATATGACTATGAGCTTTACATTGTGCCTGAAACGTTCTAAGTAACCACTACGGTATCACTGTGATTTTTACCACATAAAATTACTCAATGATGCGACTATACTCTACCACAGTGGCAAAATTTCATTCTTATATTGGGGATATTGGCTGTTAGGTGCTTAGTCTCCTAAAAAAAAGAGAATATATGAAATAAAGGAATACCTGATCGCTAGTGAAGATAACTCATTTGCACTTGATTTTTAAATGGTTGATAAGATATTGCTTATACACACATTGGCTGTGGCGTTTAAAACCATCACTGCTGTAAAACTAACTGAAAATGTCCAAAAGACAGACAGCGTGTCCATTACTAGTGTACTGAACTATTTATCTCACAGCATCCTCTTCACTCCGGAAGAAGAATCAGACGTCTGTGAGTTAC